CCTTGCTGCCTGACCCCCCCCCCCCACTATTTGCCACCTGCATGACTGTACCCCATGGCACCTCCCCTCCTCCTAGTGCCTGGTCCCCCCACCTGGCTGCTCCTGCTGCTTTCTCCCACCTCCTGTTGCCTCGTCCTCCTCCCACCCCTGACACTCACCCTCCAGCCCCAGCCCCAGCCCCAGCCCAGCCTGGTAGCAGTGGCAGTAGTGGCAACTCCAGCCTGGGCTCCAGGGTCTGGCTAGAGCTGTCACCTTTGCAGCTGGGCTGGAGCCTTGGGCTGGAGCCATGCTGGAGCTATGCTAGAGCCAGAGGGTAAGCAGTAGTGGAGGGGGCAGAGGAGGCCATGGGGGCTAGAGTTGGAGGAGCAGGCAGCAACTATGGTTCTGGCCCCCCCCTTCTTATGCTTGAATCCAAAACAAGTGATTTTGTTTCCCCATGTTAAATTGGTGGGGGGGGACACACACACTCATCTTGTATTTGAGTAAACCTGGCATTTCCTTGAGTATAAGATGCATTTTAAACACACACACATACACACACCTTCTAAAAGGAACCTTCATCTTAAATGTGAATTAGAAGAAGTAAAACAGCTCTTATATGCACCACAGAGGTGGTAGCCTTATAAATATAACGTATCTTCATTTGGGTTTGTTTTTTCTTCAGTAGAGTGAGAAAACTCAGGTGTGTCTTATATTCAAAGGATTATGCTAGCTCCACCAATACAGCTATAGTAGTAGCATCTTTATACAAGCCTCTCTTGCTTTCCCCATGCTCCCATTTCCCCTTGCAAGGGCTTTGTGACCTTACCTTGCTGCAGCCTCACCAGGTCTTTCTGAATCCGCCTCTGCTCTTTGACCATTGAGTTCATCTGCTGGACTCGTGTTTCCTCTAAGTTCTGCAGCCCATGGCTGAGCCTGGCTTCTGTTCTCTTGATACCCTGTCTGTCCAGCTCCCAGCATCTGGACCAGTCTCCCTCTGCCTTGGATGGCTTCGAGTGATTCATGATGCTCCCAGCAGAAGAAGGCAACCCAAAGATGCTGTTGTTCAATGGTGCTCTCCTCCAACCCTGGAATGTCCCAGGTCACAGCACGGCACCAGAAGAAGGAACCTGAAACAGGATGAGGTAAGCAGGAGCAAGACCACTTTGCCTTCTGATAACATCTCCCATGAGAAGACCTGCAAATTAAGAGGTGTTTATTTGCTCTGCACTGCTATGATGGAGGTACTGCTATCATCTCTGTTTTGCTTCTAAGGTGGCCAAGTGGTACAGCAATTAAGAGACTTACCCAAGACCAAACTGCAGGCTGGTATCTCAGGGTTGGTACCTTAAAGAACCTTGCCCCAAATACTTTAATCTCTTGAGGGAGAGTTTGGGAGCCTCAAACATGGATGGATTTAGGGTCACTATTCTGAAAGTAGCCTCTTTCATGGGCCTTGTTCCCTGGGCACCAATCTCACCATTCCTGAGACATCCCCTAGGGAAAGGAAGGTTTTCAGGAATGAGATTTTAAATGCACAAATCTGTAATGTTCCTGAGGTCTGATTGTTGCAGCCATGCTAACCCTCTGCCTTCCCAGCGCCATCTGAAGGGGCTGCCTTAGCAACATGCTGGACTCTCCAACCAGCAAGCTGGGAAAGCTACTCTTGCCTGTTTTGCAGGGTCTCTGCCAAGGGGACATTCCAGCCTCTTATCCCCCAGTGACAGACAGCTTGCCCCAGTTTCTCCGGAGGGTGATATGAAAGCCCTGCTGCAGCTACAGAACTGTTTTCTTTTCCACTTGTTTGTAATGCAGATTTCCTGACTGGTGGCAGCACACGTTATCCTTATCAGCACTGCTCCAGACCACTCCAGGCTAGCTACCAGCTTGGTTCACTCTATTTTGGCTATTTTTAAAGCACCTGCCAGCTTGTGAGGTGTGCGGGCTTATTAATCTTTTCCCCCCCTTGCCAAGAAAAAGCAAAGACTGTTTTCCTGAAGAATAAAAGGCTACCTTCTTAGCATTAGTTCTTATCATTAGTTATATGTGTTAAGGCATTACTCTACTGGTCCAGTCAGGCTTATGCATACAGATCAGAAGTTTTCTATCAAAATGGTCAGCCTTTTGACAGAAAAAATTTGACTACATGACATTTTTCACTGGAAGCAGCTGTTTCCCAGGGAAAAACTTGGAGTTTCAGTTTACAAAAAATCAAATCATGCAAAGCTTTAGTTTTTCAGCTGAAAACCAAATATTTCCATTTGGACATGCCACTGTGGTGGTTACTTACTGAAAAGTGGAGGGAAGTTACAAAAAGAAATGTGTTTAACTTTGCTGCAATTCATAATAGGGAAAAACTCATATTTCTTTCAGCCCTGTGGTTTGACAAACAGGGCAAGACATCAGATCCTTGTCCTAAATAGCCCTGCTTAAAACCTCGGAGGCTGAGAGATGACAAGCTGGGTGTGTTTACACCAGATGTTTACTGTAGCATAGACTAATTAGTTGCGCATTAAATATTACACATCTATATGTGCACCTCTATCAGGCTGGAGTAAACTAATTAACTCCACAGCAGCATAGTACTTGTAAATACAAATACTACCTTCCACTGAGTTTTTTACTCTACAGCAGTACATGCATAGATGCTGGCACAGTGGGCTGAGGCACAAGAGTGCTTCAGTGCAGGGGCTGCCTGCCAGCTAGTCCTATGCTATAGCACTCTCATGCCCCAGCCAGCCCTCTGCAGCCTATTAAGCCAGGGGGAACAGGCCCAGGCTGGCAGGCTGACCCCCAGGCCCCCTGCCAGCCAGGGCTGCTCTGACATGGACTGATGTGCTGTAGTCCCAGGTGCAAATAAAGATGCAGCACCCAGGAGCAATAAACTCCAGAGCAATAAGCTCTGGAGTTTATTCATGCACATTAATTGCACATGTAGACGCACCCACTGAGGAGTTTTGCAGCTTTGTTTTTTAACTACCAGAAGGCAGCTGAAACTCATGGAGGGTTAGGCTGGAAGACCCCATTCTGATAAAATCCAGGTAAGTTGATGGGTCTTGGAATATGTGAGAAGCAAGATCGGTTCGGTGAAGTCATAACTTCTATTACTGTAACTGCATGGTTTGGAGAGAGTTTTGGGGGTAACAAAGATCAGCCTTTGTTACTGGAAGTTAGTAAGTCCTGAGCCCCTCCATGGCTGAAACCAATCTGGACATAGGGCATTTATAAATGTGTTCTGGGAGGAGGGAGCACTTTAATTAGCATGGCTCCAAGAGCTGTGCTAATAAAAGTTCCTGGAGCATCACGTATATCAGCATCAAACAAGTTCTAGTTAAAATGCCCCCACCACCCGTTTTTCAGTGAAGGCACACTGATACATGTGATGCTGGAGTCTGCTAGAGCACAGTAATGACCACACCCCAGCAGACTTGATTAATCAAGCCGTCTCCAACACACTGTAATTACAAAGCATTGGAGCAGCCTCCCTGCATGTGTCATAGAGACAAGAGTATGGAAGCATGGATTCCTGCTGCGTTCCGGAGCTAGCAGAATAGATATATGATAGGGCTGTGCGAGGCTTCACCAGCTGTTTCATTTCAACTTGTTTCAAGCTCGAAACAGCAAAATTGAAACTAAGTGGAGGGCTTCAAAACAGCCTCAAAACAAAACGAGGCCGGTCAAAACCTTTCAAAAGTTTTGAAATGTTATGAATTTTGAAGCAGCCAGCCATGTGGTGGGAGGCAGGGAGAGCCAGGGCTGCGCTTCAAACGGCTCTGTAGCACCATGTGGCTCAGCCTGGCGGGGAGCGCAGCCCTGGCTCTCCCTGCCTCCCGCCGCCAGGTGGAGCCAATCAGCATGCAGCGCCGGCTCTGCCCACCTCCTGCCACTGGGCTGTGCTCCAATCAGCTCTGCCAGCCCCATGGACCTCAGCCAGGTGGCGGGAGGTGGGCAGCCCCAGCGCTGTGCTCGGCCTCCTGCCACCGGGTTGAGCTCCACGGGGCTGTGAGCCACTGGGAACCGAGCCCGGTGCGGGGAAATGCTTCCTGCCACTGGACTCTGTTCCCAGTGCTGGGAAACTCAGCCCAGCGGCAGGAGGTGCTTTCTCCAGCCTGGCTGAGTTCCCCAGCACTGGGAATGGAGCCCAGTAGCGGAGCCCAGCAGTGGTGGGAGCAGCATCCTGTGACCCAGCAGGCATATCAGGGGCCTGCCCATGCCCCCGGGAGGGCTGCAGGGGCTCTGCCAGACTCCACCTGGGGGTGCGGGCCCCCGATCTGCCTGCTGGATCACAGGATACTGCTCTTGCTCCCTGGCTCCTACTTGTCAGCAGCTTGAGGTGCAGTTTCCTACAAACCCCTGTACCTATCTCCTTGAAACCTGGCAGGCTTCATGCCCTCAGAAGGGACTACCGTCCCTGCAAGTTTAATCCGAATTAGGCAAGAAATGACAAAATTATAGCCTGTGGGTGAAACATTGAAACAGCATTGAAACAGCGAAACTGTTTAGATGAAAAGGAACAGAACAGTGCTTTTGAAATGAAACAAAACTCAAAATGAAACACTGTTCCATCGAAACACTGAAATGGAAGTCGAAACAAAACGCTGCTGTTTTGCACAGCCCTAATATATGAACCTTGTAGCCCCCATGCAAAGGGAAAACCCTGCTAAGAGTCCTGCACTGTCTCAGCAGAATTTGGTAATTTATGTGGATCTTCTCCCAGTCAGGAGATTCCTGGATCTAGGTAAATCAGGAAGTTTGCAGTGCCTCCCCAACAGTTTGTTGTTAGAGACAAATACAAGTGCCTGGAGTCAAGGAAGCAGTGACAGTCACAACAGAATCTCCCAAGTGGCTTCCTTGTCAGCCCTGCAGGTGAACCACCGAGGGTCACCATCAGCCATGTTTGTTCTTTCAACATAAACAGCAGGACAAGTTTAGACAGGTTAAATGTTGAAAGAACAGACACCTGTTCTTGGCACCAATCCCACCTGACAGGCGCCCGAGTCAGGGAATATATCATGTCAAATGTAGCTCCATTGAGAAAATGAGCTGATTGCTCTGGCTGGTTGAGCATAGCACAGGCAGAGGCCATGGATAGATGCTAGACAGATCTGTCAGAGCACTTTCATTCTGGTCTGCAGCAATCAGCTGTCCCACATAAAGTATTGCTAATACACCTCAGTCCTGAACCTGTGGCTCTCTTGTTGCTCCAGTCTTTCTTTCTATGTACTTAGACGTATTCTTGTTATTGTGTGCTGAATCAAAACCGCTGTAGAAGCCTCAGTCTTGATCTTATTAGCTCTGGGTCTTCTCATCTTTGGGGGGGATGGTGATGACTCTGAAACTCATGCTAAGCTCGGGCCTACTCACAAAAGTTTAAATACAGAATACTGGTATTAACTGCATAGTGCAAGAGGATGTGAGTTCATGGCTAGGCCATCTGAGAAGCATCTTTTCCAGCTTAGCTTGCTATATTCAGGATGATTTCAGGCAGACTCCTAGTTGTCTGGTGGTGTGTAACCATACCAGACATATCCTTAATTAATTAGTATGGTAAATATTTATTTTGCAATTAACTCATGTTTATGTGCAGGAAGAGACATTTTCCATACATAATAGATGTCTCCTCCTGATTTAGTATGTTTTTCCTGGCTGTTAATCAGTTTCTGGATATGTTCAAAACTGGATAACCTCTTGTTACTGAAGAAGGTAACTCATTCAAATGATAAATTTCTGATAACCAGTGATAAGCAGGTTAATTAACAGGATTTTCCTGTCAATTACTGCTTGGGACTCTTTTGATTTACACAGCTAAAAGAATGCTTTGAAGGTGCTAAGCTAAGGGTATAAAAAGGCAGTAAAACAGCAAACAGCACACGCTTCAGGAGTCAGAAATCTCTCTGACACCAGTTGTTAACGTGCCTGACTTACTCGAGAAGTTGAAGAGAAACAGACCACCTCTTTGTCACCTGTTTGGTGAGAAATCATCACCTTATAGCTAATTACTGGACTTTGATTTGGTTTGGGTTCACTTGACTTGATTTTAAATACTTGTAGTAAATAAAGCCTTTCTGTCACTCAATGAATGAGGTGTCGTGTCAATCCCTGGGCCAGTCAGGAATCCTGGGTTTGTATTAGCTAACAGATGGGCCCCTGCCTCCTTCCCCTCCCCACTATTGAGCCAATACAGCTCACTTCTGGCCTGCGTGGCATGCAAGTGGTAACGGTCACTTCAGGATATGAGTGTACCTTTGCTGTTGAGTGTTTGCACTGAGCTGATTCAACTGCCAGGGATACAGCTTCACCCTCAGTCTCTATGGCTCAGACTTGGCTAGCAGCTGGACAGGCTATGTTTACAGCAGGGTGCGGTGCTTCTTGCTCACACATGAGCTGTGCTGTCTAGGATTCTCACAGAGGGGTGATACAAGGTTCCTCCTATTTAAACAAGATGCTGGCTTTCATTCCAGGTCAGGAACTTGTCCCTTATCCAATTTTCCAACATGGTGGAATGACAGTGGACACCAACAATTCCTGTCCCTCCTTGCAGCATAAACAGCTTTGCCCTTGTATTCTGTCTGAGCTCACAGCATCCTCCGCACTTCCAGCCCTGGGTTTCACAGCAAGAAGCTCCACCAGTACATGCCAGTCCTGACCTGTGGGCAGTCCCAGCCCAGGCTGGTACTCAAGATATCATCAGGAAACTTCATCTTGCCTAATTTTGAGCCCAAAGCCTTTCTGGTCTCTCCTTACTAGTGCACAGTTGAGAGAATCAGAGTTTGCTCCTTGGACATAAGCTGAACAATAACAGAGCACAAGGAATAGCAAAAATAGGAGTCAAGAACTGAAAGAGCAGAAGAGGAAGAGCACG